CGTCATTCCCGCAATTGGCGTTATGTCATCGAGCGAGTGGGTTTTTCGCCGCTTGTAGTATCATTCATGTCATGAAGCGGTTGGGTCACCATGAATGGGCTGTGTACCCATTAAGAGAATCAAAACCCGGACCGTCAGCGGTGGGGAGGGAGGGTTTAACGCTTAAACAAATATGCTGCCCCACCACATGCGATGTCGTCATGGGAATATGATGCTGATATTTCATTCTTGTGGTTCTCTCTTGTTTCCCCGTACTACTATAGCCCTTGGTTATCAATTGCAATGCTTAGGGTGGGGTATCGTTAAAGGTTGGCATGGTGGTATTAATACAAAATCTTCGTTGTATATTTTAATTGATGCAATAGAAAGACTGCTGCCGCGAATCCGATTCTCTCTATTGCAAGGAAGAGTTCTTAATGATGGAATACAAGCACATATATGACTGACATAATTCACAGCGTTAATCACACTGAAGGATTTGTTCGCAGAAGTGTGTGAAAATAGCCAATAAAAACTTGATTACCGTTTTGTTTCAAAATCAGTTGAGAAAAACAACATTATGCCAACGACTTAAACAAATGTAAAGCAAAGAGGTTTATGTCAGTGCAAGGCATTAGTTTCCCAAGCTACCAACACTATCGATATCCTGTCATTAACTGTACTGTGTGTACTCACAATGTGAACGAGTTATCTGTGTGTTTACCTTACACTTGAAACTATACGACCAAACCATAGCTGCAAACCACGAACATGCCGTGTAGGGTCTACTTGCATAGAGAATGAGTGAGTGAGTGAGTGAGTTGGGTTTAACGCCTCTTTTAACAGTATTCAAGTTATATCGCGGCGTGTCAGCTTAATGTGGGAGGAAAGCTCGAAGTGATGCAGGTCTCAGACGTTTACCACTTCGGTGAAACCCACGAGCACGGGTATGGTGCTGACAAACCTAGAAACATAATTGGGGCGAACCGGGATTCGAACCCACAATCATAGGTTTCTGGCGTGCCCAAAGGACGAAACTCTGCACAGCGAATCGCGGCGCCTCAGACGACTGGGCCACCCGTGCCTCCTACTTGCATAGAGAGTGTCGTATTATGCTATTGATAGAAGTGATAGAAATGTAAGAGACCAGCGAAACCGCATCTTCTGTTTCATATTTAGATCCATGCATAACAAAGTTGCAGTGAGAAAAACACATCCACAAGAAGAAGAAAAAAATGTTAATGGGATGATCAATTTTCCAAAAGTCAACTTTCCCTTGAAGTCGAGCTACATTTTGAAACTTTTGAGGTACAATCGAGCATGCAATTTCTTAGAAAATTATGAAGTGCGTTTGACCAGGGTTACAATGTTTATGGACGTAGTAAAACTTTCAAGCTTTATGTTGGATGACATGTGGATGACATTCCAAATTTGACGCATCAGTGACAAAAATGATGTCTGCTGCAAGTCCCTATTTTGACTTATACCATATTCTCCTGTGTTTTAAGGCAAACACTGGACTTGCCTTTGCATGTGTTTGTCACAGGTGCCACCTGTGGAGCAGGATACAATCACGAACACCGGGTATCAGGACTGTTTGATAGTGATTCATAAACACATGCTTTTGTTAAAGTCAAAACCTTACAATGGATTCTACATGGAGTAGAAATGTCTTATGATTATGGACAGAACAATTCTCGCTTTTATCTGAATGACATGTATATTGTAAACCATCTGTACGTAAATAAACGTCAACGCCAGACAATAACCAGCCTCGATTGGGCGTAAAAGGCAGACTGGCGGTGAACATGAAATGAATGGCGGTTACTTATATCACGTGGGTTAATACTTAATATTGTTAATATTGGTGTGTGTGTGAGAGTTGGATTTAAGGCCGCTTTTAACAGTATTCCAGTTATATCGCGGCGTGTCAGCTTCATGTGGGAGGAAAACCCATTAAGCTGACACGCCGTGATATAACTGGAATACTGTTAAAAGCGGCCTTAAAGCCAACTCACTCACTCACTGTTCAGAAACCAGTGGTGCAATATATCGGAAAGCAACCATCATCCAACCACTCTTGGATCGCGATCAGAGGAAATAATCAACAGATGTTTTCAAAAACCATTTCATTTTGGACAACACACAATGCAGTTGTTTTTGTAAGTGTGCAGAAGTTGTGCAGGGAAACATTTACGGAGGATGTCAACATCCATGGAAACAACATGGTAGTGCGTAGGATAACGGCCAAGGTATACGCGGACACAGAACAATTACTTTGAAACGAGTTCTTGGCAACATGAATTAATAAATGTGTAAACTGTCTGTCACGTACTTGTGACTACCTAGTTGCTAGGTAAGCATTAAATATTATCTGTTGTCTTGTTTCAACATAAAGTGTTACTGCTGGAAGCCATTGTGTATCTGTTTTGGTGATACCTTATTCCTTCTATACCTATGTAATATGAGGCTTGAACGGACAAAGGACGTTAACCATTGTGATACATATGTTGCCGTTGTAATACAGTATTGTTAAATTCTTCAGTGCTTAGTTCTTTTTGTAATTGAGTTGAGGTCAATGCCTCTTTAAACAGTATTTCAGCTATATTACTGCATGTACGTGTATGTCGGCTTATTGTATTAGGAAAGACAGTACGTAAGAGGTAGCCCTTCACGCCATACACAGCCGGATCACCAATGTCCTTATCCTTTGATGTATTTATCAACCCAAGTAGGCAGTCACAGTATCGCAGAAAGTACTGAGTTCTATGAGGAATATAATATTATACACTGGAGGAAATAGCTGAGCCTCTCTTTCCAAATATTGCAATAAGTGATTTCCCAAAGAAAAGATGTATGAAAACTTGGAAATGTTTTTAGATAGTTTTGGAGAAGTTAGGATATTATTGGAAATATCGCCAAAGAATGTTCACAGAACGTACTGCGCATGTCCTGCCCAAGCACGGAAATATATGCCAGCGATAATTTGATGAATGTTCTGACATCTAAACTTGGCCTCTCATGACACAATAGTCAATATGACATCCTGAAATGTTTACCACGCACAAATAACTGTGAACCAGTCTTTGACATGACTGGCACAGTCCTATGGTATAATCAAGGATAGTATCGATTATTGATACAATGACTATATACCAGGGTCAACCATCTCTGCCATTATTTCCGAACACATAGGTTTGCTTTGTTACAGCATAATCAATAGGCACTAAAAGAACAGACATGTATTATTTCTGTGTTTGGAATTTAGTCTGTTATTTTGGAAGTATCGTTTTGTATTTTGTTTTTGATTTGAACCGGGCAGGGAGAACCTTTGTCTTGCGTCAATGAAAGAATGGCGGTTATGTCATATCAATATCGACTTCAACATGCGGACGTCCGTTTGATGCTAATCATGTAGCATGTGGCCAGAAATGATTACTGATCGATCTGTGAAGGGAGCATTTCAAGTGAACGTGAGAGGTGCGATGATAGCCTTTGAATCGACTTTCAGATGCCGTTTCCATTTCTGGTGTTCCCCGACGTCATATTGCTGGAATATTGCTAAAAGCGGCGTTAAACTATATTCACTCACTCAGATGCAGTTTACTGTTTGCCTCGGCGACAATTGTATCAACATAAAATTCACCAATAATAACCTTCTTTATTCCTGACACACAAGTCTGACAGCCGATGCCACGAGTCGAGAGAATGACATGCATACGGTGGCATAATATATGGTGGAAATAATGGCAGCACCAAATGGAGATGCAATACCAATAATCAATATTAACAACACCGAGATGCTGTAAAATCATATCAATTTCTCCTTCTTCGCTCTTCATGTGAGAACAATGTGTGACGACCTCACATAAATACTGACATCAGTTATGTACAAACCGGCGTCCTTTTATTCTATTATTAATTATAGTTTACCACTGTGGCCGTCTTAGATACCCGGTATTATTCCACTCTTACAGAACGCCACACATGACAAAGCAATGTCCCCATTGAGAATAACCAATACAAAAACTATGACGTATATATTGTTTGCCATCCTCCATAGCAACCAATTGTTTTCTCTTTGAAGGGAAGCGAAGAAGGGCGTATTGTTTGTGTGTCTACCGGGACCATTAAATGTGTAGGAAATGTTAGGTGCAACCCATCACAACTCCATAGAACCAGAGCCAAAATAAATATTGTCAACATGAATCGATGTTGGTCGTTACATTTCTTTTGTAGGGCTCAGGTGCAAATCGTCATGTAATATTATTTGCCTGTCTGGGTGTTGCAGATTGTTCAATGTTGATTTGCACCTTAAAGGATGCGCAAAAACATTATTGTGGCGAGATGACTTCGCAGTTGCTAGGATGACATGTAAGGCTTTGTTTTGACTGTGTATCATGATGGATAGTACATGTGTTTATATATTCTAATACATCTTTATCCTGTCCTTACGATCTCACGTCACGACAAATAGATGGACTATCTATGTGATGCATAGTTCAGGGTAGCCAGTGACAACACTTTAGACTGCAGTGCTTGTGGCACTGTGGGGTTTTGGGGGGTCCTGTCACCACTTGAGCGATAACGTGCTATTGGTTTAGAGATTTATTATAATAAGGAAGGTGAGATTTTACATTGTGGTTCATATAAAATGTTTTTGCTGAAGTCTTTTTTTATTTTATTATATTCATATAATATTATTATGCGGCTGTTTGTGCGGTTCCCAATAGATGCATTTTGGTGTGATCTTTCTGCCTGAAATCGATATGCTGCAATGACGGCTTATTATCAACAGAGTTTTCGCAAAGGCGAAGTTCTTCAACCAGGGAGGGATACACCGTTCAGTTTTTTGGTTGCTGTCTTTTTATGATTTTTCTATCATTGGTTCAATTATGAAAGTTTTATTTTGTCTCACGTTTACTGATGAACCTGTTTCCCACAGATGTGCATTTTACTTATTGCTACTTATCGGTTAGCTAAAGAACATTTCAACGATGGGTATTATTATTTTTCCGCAGACACCTTTCTGATTCCGGGCGGATACAGCGTCTTATCCTGGAACAAGGTTCACACCGAATCTTTGCTGTTCTTTCTCTGATGCCATAAGTGGCACCAAGATCGTCCACGGCCAATGGTGTGAGTAGGTTCTGCTACCATCATGGGTTGTGGATCCTCAAAGGATGGAACAGCTGATAGTCCAAAGAAGACGGCGAGTAAAAGGAAGAGTAATGCTAAGGCTGAACAGGTAAGAGACAAAGAAATATTGATCGCATCACTCGATAGAAGTGTCAGAGACCACTGCCATCAAATAAAGATATCACTCAGAGTAAAGCTGCATTGGTACACATGCGACTATTTTCTGAATGCAAGGAAATGCAAATACAGATGGGCATTTTGCACCGGTTTATTCTCAAATACGTGTAGAAACACTGTCCCCCCCAAAAACTCGATTATATCAATAATGTCTACTCACAATGATCACGATAAACATGATAAACATGTCGTCAGCGTGAACGATCAAAACGATCAATTAAACGTTCATAATTGCTCCAAACAAAAGACACAATGCAGCTTTAGTCGCATCTGACATCACCAGTTCTTTCCACCAATATACAGCAAAAATGCATACTTTCTGATCTTGTCGACTCTTGGATCCACGTCTCAGGTGGAAGTAGACGTAGGTGACAGCAAGACAAACTCAAACAGGAACTCTCCGGAACGGCAGAGGGCGACCCCGTCACCGACTAAGTCCTCTCCACGCAAGGAGCAACAGTCCCCGGACTATGATGCTTCATACGCTGGAACCCAGAGCTCCGCTCTAGAGTCTCCCTATGACAAACACGGGGATGTGGTGAGTCAGGCATGACTCGCCTGAGTCATAGCTTGCTTCCTCGTGACGCAGTCTCACTCACCATTTCGTTACTAACAGTGCATCTTTCTTCTAGATATATATGATATGATCAGATGCAATATATATTGAAGGTGTCGAAGCAGAAAGGTTTATGGAAATTGACGTATTATTGACTGATATTGTGATGCTCACACTTCTGCAAACCAGAAAAATTCTAATGGATATTTGAATTTCCGATAACAGTCAAAAGAACGTGTATGTTATGTGTCTTAAGAAGGTACACCAAGAAGCTACTCCAACTTACTCTCTCTTGATAGTTTACGCATGACATAGGATAGTGGACAGTCAGATTTTGCGCAGCAATAAACAGAATAGCACACCTGATGTCTATTTGCATTTGACCATGGCACGTGTTTATCGTTCCCATGTTTGTGGTATATTTTTGTTTATCAAAGTAATATATTGCTGCATTTTACTGTTGATGTTTTCACTTTTATTTGTTTGTATCTGTTCTACTTATATTTTGTTCAGTGTCATTGGCTTTGTCTAGAAATTTAGAAATAATGCTATTGGACAGATTAGGTAGATATTTCTTTACATCGCATTCAGGCTTCGTGTGATAGATTTCATCTTACATTTTAGATTTATGAATTAGATAGAAAAATAGAAATATAGTTTTAGTTTTGGGGTGTTTGAATTCTACAATATATTTGATACCTCCCAAATATATGGAAATCAGTTAGATTAATATATAATTATAATAATAAAATATTTGTTTTGTTTACATTACCTATGGTTATGTATGTTCACGTATTAAGCATATATTCCACTATACTTTGCATATCAATTTTCACTTTTATATATTATTTATATATGCATGTTGTCATGAGACTTCTTTTCTTTTACACTGTCACATCAAGAGAGAAATTGTAATGCTACTATACACGAAGGATTGTTACGTGTTTGTAATTGCATTAATTGCAATCTGTTTCAATATAGTTACTAAATATATACCTATATGCAATAACGATTGTCTACACAAGTATATTCATGGGCGGAAGGGTAGCCAAGTGATTAGGGCGCTGACACCCTAAGCCGAAGACCAAGATTCAACATTTAGATTTTCATGTTGGAAACAATGTGATTGAAGATTGCGACAAGTTGGCAAATACGTGTATCTCAATCTGAATTCACGCAAAGAAATTGGGAATTTAAAAAAAAGGTTTGATGAATATGAATCAGAATATGACGATCATTTACTAGTGTTTAAAACAGATCTGTACTTATAAGCGTCATCACTTTCCATGCCAGATGCATGGTGTCTATATATTGTACTGATAGCGTGTACATGTATAAGGTTTACCTGTATGCCTCTGCACCTACAGAACGGGAGGGCCGGAAAGTCGAAATACGGGGACAAAGATGAGTCGTCTTTTCAAGAAGCCAATGACAAAGGTTATAAGGTAAGAAAATACCGGTACATATTAACTGAAGGATGTCCGGCGTCTCAGAAATGTTCCCAATCAATATCAGATAATGCGTTATAATTTCCCCTTTATGTAGTACAATAATCGCGCAGCTGCATGTCTGTGAGATATATGGGATTGACACAAAGCATTCAATTCCTCGATCCGGGCACACCGTGTTATACGGTCAGTTCCTGTCAAACAGAGTTACACTAAAGGATGCAGTTTGAGAGAGGTTAGGTATTACGTAACTGAAAAGGGATGCTGTGACCTTCAGGTATTGGGATTTTCATCTCAATACATCATCAATATCTGCAGAATGGCTGTGTGGTTGAGGTAATAGCATACAAGAAACATGTTTTCCGCTTACGGTACAAAATCACCGCGAACAATCGATATTGTATTGTGTGGCTGGAAGTCTGCGATTACTATAGTCCATCGAACAAAGAATGGACTCCGTGAACCTTTTGATATCAAGTCAATGCAAACCTGTTTTGTTGCTCCCTGTAATGCATGTATTGTGAGATCGGTTTATCTCATTACAGTAACAACTACATGCCATACATGCTAGACTTGCTTCGCTCATGTATTATACGTTTTTATGTGAATAACACAGTGCAATTTAAATATACATTCTACTTCATTGAAAAAAGCCTAAGTGAACATACTTGTACATGTAAGAAGTCAAGATCAGTACCGATTTGCGTTAATGATACGAAAGTCATTCTAATATTTTCAAAGACAAGGTTCCTCACTGTCATTCTGATTGGGGTTCAATTGGCCATCACACTTTTCTTTCTCCTTCACACAAGGAGAACAGGGAAATATAGTCCACACTCAACTGCATCGTGATAGCTCTGATGTATGTATGATGATAGCTTATTCCGATGTGTGTAGAATGATAGCTTATTCCGACGTATGTATAATGATAGCTTATGCTGGTGTATTTATCATGATAGCTTATTCTGGTGTATATCTAATAGCTTATTCTGGTGTATATCTAATAGCTTATTCCGATGTATGTTTAAAGATAGCTTATTCCGATGTATGTATTATGATAGCTTATTCCGATGTATGTATAATGATAGCTTATTCCGAAGTATGAATAATGATAGCTTATTCTGTGGTATTTATCATGATAGCTTATTCTGGTGTATATTTAATAGCTTATTCCGATGTATGTATAAAGATAGCTTATTCCGATGTATGTATAATGATAGCTTATTCCGTTGTATGTATAATGATAGCATATTCCGATGTAAGTGTAATGATAGCTTATTCCGATGTATGTAGAATGAGAGCTTATTCCGATGTATGTATAATGATAGCTTATCCGATGTATGTATAATGATAGCTTATTCCGTTGTACGTATAATGATAGCTTATTTCGATGTATGTATAATGATAGCTTAATCCGATGTATGTATAGAATGAGAGCTTATTCCGATGTATGTAGAATGAGAGCTTATTTCTATGTATTTACTATGACAGCTATTACTATTACCATGATTGCTTATGCTGATGTATTTACGATGATAGCCTTAAAAGTATGGCGATGTATGTGCTGTATTCGCATTCTATGTTTGGTCAGAGAAGAGTCCGGGAGAAACTGAAGACATCGACAGGAGGAGGTGACATAGAGGACCTGGAGAAGATGATAGCTTTATTTGAGAGATCCAGACTTGAGGACTGTGGAGACCTGACACGTGCCAAAGAGAGGCTCAGATATCTCAAACTGAAGAGAGGTTGGTCTCAGTCTCGCATACATCTCATATATGATCGGTAGAGAAGGGGCATATCGGGCAATAAATCATTCTGTCACCAATCTCTGGACCTTTCGAAAGATCAAGAAATGATATGAATAGATTAGCGCTTATCAAGAAAGTACTTCTCGTTCACGATCGAAAGCGGAAAGCACTCAAGATAAAACATTGGTTTGGGTGTCCTTAAATTACCGAGAGTGTTGGCTGATGAGTCTCGCCAAATAGTAGGATTTATGACTGACCGATGTCCTGAATGGGATACACACATGTTTGATGATGGCTAAAAGTGAAACAAACAAGAAATGCGATAGTGGTGTATATGGTATAATAGGCGATATTACATGCTTCATGTCTGTGAGTACCTCACAACAGGTGACATGCACTGTCGTATCAAGGAATAGGGGGCTCGCAACTGTACAGTACACACTAATGAGCAAAGTAAAGTGTGAACTATCTAGTGTTTACTTTCTTTTGACCGGTAGTTTCTATGCACAAATAAAGAATACCACACTGATTAATAGTATGTTAAAGGCGAATAATGATATCATTGAGATTACCAATGTCACTAAATATTCTGAATCAAATAGCGGCAGAATAATTTTCATTCAATGTATTTGAATATACTGACAAAGAAAAACTGTGTCTAAAATAGTAAGATTCAACAAATATTTTCATCAAAGTTAAACATCAGAAACCAAGACTGACAAAGAAAAACTGTGTCTAAAATAGTAGGATTTAACAAATATTTTCATCAAAGTTAAACATCAGAAAACAAGTTCCCGTGACACTCAACTTGCGTAATTAATGACCAATTTGATTCCAGATTTACGTGACTCAATGCGACGTCGTCACGTCGGCGTGCTAAACCGGACAATAGCTGACGTGCAAGCTTCTCCTTACGCCTACCAGCTCCACAATCAGCTGGAGAAGGCCGAGAAGCTGCGCGACCACCTGAAGGAACTGAACACGTACAACCATGACATCCTCCAGATGGAACAGACAACCATATCGGAGTTACGGAGCTATCAACGACCTCCCACCAGTGTCCATGACGTCATGGCGGCAACATACATGCTACTAGGCCACGACGAGGATCGACTGACGGTAAGATGCAACCAGATGCATAGTCCTGCACCATGACCGTGGAATATATTTATTTTATGAAAAATTAATAATCTAGAAATGCATACAAAAGCAAGTCTAGCCAGCTCAAGCTAGTCCTGCACCATGACCGTGGAATATATTTATTTTATGAAAAAAAATTAATCTAGAAATGCATACAAAAGCAAGTCTAGCCAGCTCAAGCTAGCTCTATTCCACTGAATAGGGATTTATTTCTTTTAGAGTCAAGAAGGATATTGTGTAATATAAGATTTCAGAGACTAAATGTTAGTCTACCAGACGCACTGAAGATGGCGTTGTGTTTGTTTTTAAAGGAAATAACTATGCATGACATGTTGATGGTGAAAACGTCAGCTTTCAAATCGGATTTTAGAAATATGTGAGTGTATATGCTTATCTTCTTAACCTTTGATACGGGAGCTGTAGCGTTTATGTCAAAATGTCCTATCGTGACGCAGAAGACCCGTTCAAGGGTCAAGGGTCACAGTTGGTTCTTTGAGTCCTTTGGCGTGATATCCTTTGAATAGTGCTAAAACCATTACTCACTAAGACTTGCATCATATTCTACGATCAATAGAATCTGATAAATAATGTCATCAAGCAGAGGATGTGAATGTGTAATGTGACTGCAAAACCTTCTATCGCTCAACGGTCTATGATGTAAACACCCCAGGGTGTTCAGGGTGTAATCTTGAGACACACTGATCTGTTTACAGTGGTAACAACGGCTTGCGCTTTGAGCACTCCGCTCTTAATAAGTCGTCTTGTATCATCATCATCATCATCATCATCATCATCCTTTAGTGGTAATGATGGTGTTTTCTTCCATTAACAGGGGTCAATGGGTGGTGGTGTAAGATTGGATATACCAAAAAGGTTCCCCGTAACAACCAGGACCGCTTTACTGTCCTCGATGTGTTTATTTCCCATTCCTGTACATGTGCTATAGATGAGGTTACAATTGCAAAAACAAAACTGATCGCCGATATATGCCAACTGTTAACATAATTCTCATTTACCCAAAGCAGTTAGAGATCACGTCATTGATTCTAGTTTTCATCACCTTGGATACATTGTTTCCCTTGTGGCAGGAATGGGCCGACATACAGTGCCAGATGGGCAGGCTTGGTAAAGACAGTCTGGTGAGACAGGTGGAGACATTTGACACCAACGACGTCGACGACCAGACAGCCGGCAGAGTGAAAGAAATCCTTGGATACCACGACCTCGACCAAGTGAGGGCGGCAAGCAATGGCGCGGCCAGTTTCCATGTCTGGGTGAGTTGACATGCAGTAAACTGATAGGAGAACACACCATTCGTCCCGTGTGTAAATTAAACCTATGGGTGAGGTGAGTTTAACGTCGCGTTCACGAATATTGCACGTATCCCAACAATACCGAGCACCAGGCAGGGTAACAACAAGGACAATCTTTAAAGGCGCTCTATCCACCAGACCACGGAGGTAGTCTGTGCCTGTTTAATCTCATAGAGATCTATGTAAATGTACTCGATGCTCCTCGTGGAGATTAGGAGTCAGACATAAGGTAAGACACCATGTAGGGATCGGATGGCACGCTCTCTGACAAGACATGTTGACAAGTTGAGCGACGGCCTTTATCGTTGTTAATTTTTTTAATCACTGGAACGCCTGATCTTGTACTGCATACATTTGTTCGCTGGACATCTCAGCGTGTGTTTTGTGTAAAGGCAAACTGTCTGGATGAATAGTTTTGATGGTTCTTCTTGAAAGTAAAGTTGACGGATATCATTGGTGTAGTTAACCTGTTTTGAAAAACCTACTGGTGAGGCCGATGTGAGCTGTGAATTAAACACTCACTTGTAATATTATTGTAGAATGTTAGCTCCAGTCTGTCCGTGTCCTTTGAGCGGAAATATACACACATCAAATCATCTGACCAGATTGCAATTATTTTAAATCCTGAAACCGATTTGAAACCGAAGTTCGTGCAGGAACGAGAAAATGTTGTTGATCGCCTGTCGGCAGATCTACAGTTGGACTACGCCGAACTGTAAATAAGCGAGTCTTACAACTAAACCATATGTGAAACTCTGCACCCCTGTCACAGCAACAAAGCAATCGGAGCGCTACCTGTGAGACTTACGACAATCGTACCGCCGTATATGGAACTTATGCCAATCGAACCGCTATACAGGGGACGTACGTATTGGAAATATGCCAATCGTAGCGCGACATATGGGACTTACGACAATCCTAATACTTTAAATGGGACTTGCGACAATCGTACTGACATGTTAACTTTGTGGAACTGGCCCAGGAATCACTGGTTGTGGTTACGAAGCCTAGATTCACATGGATTATGATCCAAGGTCTATGGACAACACACCCATGTTTGTCATCTTGGACTCGCCTCTCGCTTAAACTGACTGATTGATGCTACCTGTCCTACCTCCCCTTGCTGTACGAGAAGTAATATCATACAATAATAAATATTTAATCTTGACGTCCTGTTTTATTACCTACTGGACACCAAGTTCACCATAGATACCTCGTCTCGGTACGCAGATCATCGCAGATGGCGTTATCAGGCATCTCGGTACGAAGGCTCCGAACATGAAGATCAAAATTAATGTTTCACACAATCACGGGAGTAATCTAAAACCAATAGCAACGATATTTGTCAAGGGCAATCAATACGTTGTGGCTTTTACCGGTAAGAAGTGGGGGGTTTTAATAGTAGTGTTGTGGATGTCAAGCTTGTCCTGCTCTAACAGGGCGGGAAACTGGAATAGAGGTGGTCGGTCCCAATCATTTTGAAAAAATACTTCTCATGTGAAGGGACCGCGTCCGTGATCTAGTGGATAGAGCATCTTCCCGGAGAGCTGAAGGTCGGTGACTTCCTCTCCGCCTAATACCAAAAGACGTTAAAAGATGGTACTTGTTGTTACTCTGCCTAGCCCCTGACTGGGTGGCTCGGAGTCAATATAATGTGCCTGAGTGGGGTATCCATGTTAAACTGCATGGAATTACAGTTGGCTAGCACTATAAAAGCGGCACAAATCCGGATTAATACACGCAGCCATACACGCAGCCATACACGCATATGCATGCACGTCGCTATAGAAGTGCAATAATCATGAACGCGACCTTAAACTCCATTTCACCTCACCTGATTGTTATGTGAAAGTGCTCTACATGGTCTCATGCACATATCTTCCTCCTGTTGCAGTCTAGCCAGATGGTGGAGAAGATCGACAAGGACCAGCAGACAGAGGAAGACAGGAGAAGACAGGAGGAAGAGAAACAGTCTGTAGCTAGCAGCAAAGGCAGAAAAAAGAAAGGATAATAAATTGAGGCATGTACAGTGCACTAGCTTCCATATCAGCCAAAGACTCTACTTTCCAGTCCGACCGCCTTGGTCAGACTTTCTACTTGTGTTCCTCAATCAAAAGGATAGAACGAAGTCGTCATTGCAGCAGTGGGCGGACTGTTACTACACAAATACCACAGCAATAACCAATTGTAAAACACAAACGATTATGTAGTTCTGCCTCTATTGAAAGACGCCGTGATATAAGTCAATGACGGATATAAAAAATATAATATTTAACTGTTTCGATACACATGTCACGTTTAACGAATACATTAGTTAGACAAATAATATAATATGGTTAACGGGGCATTAGGGTTTTATTGACAATGTCAGTCAAATAGTGCTCTAAAATCCTCCTTACCTAAGGGAGGGGCACGGTTGTTACTTGGGGAAATTGTTTGCTAATAAGGGTAATATTTTATAAATTCAATATTTTAAATAAAGTCAGTGCGACTTGATACTAAACAATAATATTGCATTTAAATACATTTTTTCAAAATATTGTGAAGCTGACGAGCGGTGTCAGATCTTTCTGAGTTGTGTGCATCAGTGCTACATGAATTATCTCCCCTACTTCACATGGACGACGCATGACAATGAACCGGACTTTGATGCGTGCACATGATGACTGCAACCTGGTTCCCAGTGTAGCGCCAGCGCAGCATACCCAGGGAACCAGGCTGATGATGACAGTTGAAATACGGACGTATTGAAATGCAATGCACAAACTGGCATAAATGTACACACGACTATAAGCCTATCATCTACTTTTAGTTAGGCACTCTCATGGCATAGTTTGGAATTACGTGAAGTGTGATATCACTATTCCCCCAAATGGGATGTGGACGAATTTGTTTCTTTTTTTTTATTGTACAGTATGTGATTTTTATGTGCCAATATATCTGTGATATTGTATACTACTCACAAGAAGTTAAAGAATACCGGATTCTTTGACCTTTGTATAGTTGATCTGTCATGTCATGACAGAGTAACTATAGTAACATAAAAGAATCGGGTGTTCTTTAACTTCGTTGAGCAGTATATATCAATCTTTACATATTCTCATATATAACCACGTGTGTTTTAGAAATACACAACAAACATGTTTATGTAGAGCATTCCTTCAGCAAATGACCCTACTACTACATACATATGAAACAAGAAATGTTGATATTTATTTTTCTGCTGCTGTAGATATCGTCAAATAAAGGTCATTTATATATTATGGTTTTGGGTTGTAGGAATTACTCAGATTGTTTTCTTCTACACAAGACCGCCTCCGTGGTCTAATGGTAGAGCGTCCGCCGGAGAGCGGAAGGTCCGGGTTTCGATCCCCAGCCGCGTCATACCAAAAGACGTTAAAAGATGGTACTTGTTGTAACCCTGTCTGGCGCTCGGCATTAAGGGGCTAAAACAAGGACTGGTCGGCTCGGAGTCAGTATACTGTGTCCGAGTGGGGTATTCATGTTAAACCGCGGCATGGTATCTCAGTGTGCTAGCACTATAAATCGGCATCAGTCCGGACTAGTACAAGCAGCCACACACACACACATACGTGCATGCACGTCGCTATATAAGTGCAATAATCTTGGACGCGACGTTAAACCCCATTTCACCTCACCTTCTTCTACAGTCATCACTGCAAGGGTTATGATTTCACAACGATGATCCTACATGCGTTTCCACAGTTATACCTTTGTGTTTAAATTTAGTTGATAAAGAGAAGTTAAAATCAAGCCCGGTGTTCAGAGAACCGACTCGGGGTGCACGTCCCACCTGTTGTCAGTGGAAACCATGTGTGATCAGATGCTGTAACACATACTATGGAATGGTGAAGTTTTGTAACTGATGAAATCACGGGCATCATCGTTTCTCGCCTTTAACTGCTGTAACATTGATACAATTGTTCTTAATTCTTCAATCCAAGACCGTTAATGTCATCCACATCAGACAAACATATATAATTATTCTCATTCATCATTGACATCTTGACCATAGATGCAGGAAAGTTTAAAATTAGTGTGGCTTTTGAAGTCTGTAATGTAGAAAGAGACAACGTCTTCCCTTTTAGTAAACGCGCGGTGTCGTAAACACAAGGAAATATTTCCATGTATACCTACTGAGACGGTATAGTAGTAGTAGTAGTAGTAGTAGTAGTAGTAGTAGTAGTAGTAGTGAGTTAGTATGATTTTACGCCGCTTTTAGCAATATTCCAGCAATATCACGGCGGTGGACACCAGAAATGGGCTTCACACATTGTACCCATGTCAGGAATCGAACCCGTGTCTTCGACGTGACGAGCGAACGCTTTAACCACAAGGCTACCCGACCGCCCCTGTAGTAGTAGTAGTAGTAGTAGTAGTAGTAGTAGTAGTAGTAGTAGTAGTAACCTTTGTCTACTAGGGGGCACGGGTGGCCCAGTCGTCTAAAGCGCCGCAATTGGCTGTGCAGAGTTGGGCCCCTTGGGTACGCCAGAAACCTATGATTGTGGGTTCGAATCCCGGTTCGCCCCGATTATGTTTCTAGGTTTGTCAGCACCATACCCGTGCTCATGGTTTTCACCGAAGTGGTAAACGTCTGAGACCTGCATCACTTCGGGCTTTCCTCCCACATTAAGCTGACACGCCGCGATATAACTGGAATACTGTTTAAAGCGGCGTTAAACCTAACTCACTCACTCACTTTGTCTACTAAACTAGTTGTCTATCCATCTACTCTCCGCGAACAGCTTTGCCTAACTTGTGATTTCATGTGCTTATGTCTAACTACATAATATAAATACTTCAAAGTCCTACACGAAGTTCGTGTCCTTTAGACATCTACTAACAAAATACAAAAAAAAGTCACTCAACACGAATACGTGTAATCTTGTAGATGGTAATCCCAGCTGATCCATGACATAGTATTTAGTTGTGTGGTATATATCACCTAGAGTCCAATATTGTCCCCAAGTGTATAAAGCGTATTATTATTTTAACACTCAGGTTCGGGTCACTACAATATAGACTGGTCACTGTCTACGAGGCTGATCCCAGGCCTTCGAAAAGCGATGAATCACGTCACAGGAACAATGACGGCTGTTCTGCTGTTGTGTTTTTGTTTGCTTGTTTCTAATCTGATGACAGGCTAAGTCAGGGTTGTGTTCGAGGTTTAGGAGCGGCCATCGTGCCTCACTGATCACGACAGGTGAATTATACGTTGTTGTCAGTAGACAGTATCGTCTTTCCTTAGACACAGTAGGTAGTCAGCTAGGGCGGATCCAGCAATTTTTAAAGGGAGGGGTCCACAATATCAAATCCTGTCTCAGATAATTTTACTGCCGACAACATACTGCATTTCGTTTTCAAAAAGGGGGAGAAAGGTGTGTGTGTGTGTGTGGGGGGGGGGGGGGGGGGGGGGGGAGGGGGTGGTAGGAGGATGGTGGTATCCGGAATCCCCTCTATGGCTCCGCCTTGCATATATGGATCAGTTCCCGTCAGCACGTGGTCTCTACTCACAGTTGGCCACTACCATGACCTCCACGATATTCAGAACGAGTGATTGTGTTTAACACCGTTTTGAACAGTATTCTAGTTATATCACGGCGTGTCAGTGTGATTTGTGAGGAAACCCCGAAGATCAGACGTCTACCACTTTGGTGAAACCAACAAGCACGGGTATCGTGCTGTCAAACGTAGAACCATAATCGGGACGAACCGGGATTCTAACCCATAATTATAGGTTTCTGGCGTGCCCAAGGGACGCAACTCTGATCAGCGAATTGCTTGATGACTGGGCCACTTTGCACCCCTCGGCATGGAGACGGACAAAGGGCGGGGACAACACACATATATGGGTAGAGAGTAGGGAGGGAAGGAAGTGGGAGTTCCTAACTCATTTGATTACAGTTTTCATGCCGTTTAAAATTATCATAAGAGGTTAAAATAGTGGGGATCTTGGCAAACTAGAAGGGTTAATGAGCGGATCTGGCTTTACATCGCTCTTTCTTGAAAGTATCTGATTCCGTTAAGTGTACAAGGTGAGGTGAGATGAAATCGGGTTAAACGTCGCGTTCAAGATTATTGCACTTACATTACGCGCGTAATTTGTCTGTGTGTGAGGCTGCTTGTACTAGTCCTGATACCACTTTCATAGTGCTATCCCACTGAGATACCATACGCAGTTTAACATGAATACCCAACTCAGACACGGTAAACTGACTCCGTGCCGACAATCCTTGTTTTATCCCCTTAATGCCGAGCGACAGGCAGGGCAACAACAAGTACCATCTTTTGACGCATTTTGTAGGACGCATGGGGATCGAACCACCGAACTCCGCTCTCCGGACAGGCACTTTATCTGCTAGCCCACGGAGGCGGTCTGTTTAGAGTCCGAATGAACACTTGATATCCCACTGTACATATATTATTTGGCATCAACAAGTGTAGACTTAACACACTCTTGCAGGTCCCCCTGTGACGGCATTAGAGGATTCCCAAAGGCATGTTATCTCTCAAGGCCAAGAGTTGATTCTGGGAATAACTGGTATCACCTCATCAACCAGCTCCGCCAATAGGTTCTATCAGATTCATAAACACGTTATAAACACATGACACTATTGGACCGACTGTGTCGCTAAAATTGACGTCATGATTTTGAGATGGGATAAGAGAGACAATAATTTATTTCAAACAGATATTCGAAACCTGTATGAATGACGTAAATCGTTCTATATTCTATCTGCCAGTCTAACACGATTTTGATCATAAATGGATAATTCAAAATGATCAAAGTCAGTCTTCATACAAGTCTAATATAGTACTATGACCAGCATATCATGTTAAATAGCGTGTGCTTGTTCTTAGCGTGGGTCATTTCCCAAAGCGAGATTTAAGATAAGTTACTTGTTACTGTATGCTGCTATCCAGTTTATTAAACGGTGTTATTTAACCCTCGTAGAGATAGGTTTGACGCTAAATCTTTTACAATAAAGAATATTAGGAATATTGTTTCACGTTAGGTGATTCTCAGTGTGTTTCGTGAAATGGCTTATGGCAACGTGTGAGAGATGCTATCAGTGTGTATCCAATCACGTGTCTACAGCATACAGGGGAACGCATGACCTGTGAAACAAAAACTGGGGACTACTCTTGATCGGCAAACTAAAAAAACACACTTGTTTGACTTTCACTGTGTTACAGCCAAAGAGGGCTGTGTATGAATAAGTTTTGAGGACTATAACGGTAAGAGTTTGGATTGTTTTGATTTCTCCTCTTAATGGTTCTCATTATTATCAAATTATAGGTTTTGGAAGGATTCCAAGCCCTATAGAAACTGTCATAACAAATTAGAACATTAGACTTAAAATCTATTATTTTCATCTTTCTTTCGGGATCATGAATACAAAGCGCATGACAATATCCGTGTTCATTTGTATACATTCGATATTATATATTGTGAATTATAACGTTGTCTACACTGTCGTGACTTCTTTCTTGTAGCAACACAACGCATGTACACATCAGCCTGAATGAGTTTGCGAATTTATCACCAAATCCATCTCATGAATGAAGCACACGTATTCTTTTCACATAAACTTAGTACATATCAATAAAAAGTTATATGAATGTGAAATTACTTTGCGTACACAATCTTTATTTCTTGGTGTGTTGTTGTGTCTCCCTAATTCAATCATTAATATATGTGAACTACAAATAAATTGTGATAGTGATGTTCTAAAACTTTCTCAGGTTCTCATCCATTAAATAGCTTTCGGTAGATAAATTAATAAATAAATAATGATTTGTATGTGAAACAACAACAGAAGTCCTCTGTTGGGTGTATATATCAACAATAGTTTGTCTTTTTGACATTAAAAACAATTCTTGATGTTTTGGTACTTCTTGATTTTTTTGGTTCTTCACATAATAAGCTGAGTTTTCAGATCCATGAGTTTCGTGCAACAACATTCTATTGTAACATTTTCGTGGTAATCGGTAACATGGCATGTTAGGTATTTTCATCCAATACTTTATAACTGTAATGTATTGTGAAACGTAGAACTGTGTACGTCCACACTCCCTATACACAATTACATTTGAAGTGCATCTTTATATTGCTTCGTTCCTTGAAACCTTTCACACGCTGCGAGATGAAATCGGTTTAGATTCACATAGCCCCAATACTTCAGAGTCAAATAAAAAGAATTTGTGAAAGATTTTAAAGAATGTCTTATATGAAAGGCCACGTACATTTTGCACATCAATTTTTTTGTAAATTTATGTGGGAGACCACACAGTGCCTTATTCCCTTGAATCGCTGCATTATTAGCATGTTGTTTCCAAGAAAACGTATTTGAAAATGTAACAAAAAAGTAACTGTTTCTAATGGTTTTTCTTTGGAATACCATATTTCTTTATTCGTTATCTTTATTTCCGCATGTAATAGCAGCAGCCTAATTTGGTTTGATAATGACTTCCTAAACGACATAAGGCACACATGGACATACATAATCTATCATAAATTCAATCTCCTGTTAACGTCAGAATACACAAAATATGAAGTAAGACCATTATTTCAAGTGCTTTTGAATAAAATAATGCGGTAATGCGGTCTGACCAATACCGCTGGCTGACCAATCGGCATGTTGAATTTTATAATTTCATGCTGGAATGATATTTACAAGCCGCGATGAATACAGCCCAACCCATGGGTCAAATGTCATAGCACATGTGCAGTGGAAGGTCACCATAGTAACTGTCGGGGGGCAAGGTCGTTTCGTGAGGGAAAGAAGCACTTGATTTATCTCTGCTATACCCGAGAGAAGTTTATTATGTGCAGTAATTATGATATTGTCCGTGTGCTCGTCTACCTATCGCCGTATTGTATGACGAGATTGCACGATAGGGGCTCAGCGATCAGCATGTAAACCAAAAGGTATATACATTAAATGCTTAACGTTAACTTGGATGTCCAACTTGGATGTTAATTAAAACAAGTAAAACGTAGAATTCAAATAATATTTTTGAAACTCATGCCTGGCAATGTTCGTTTTTTCCACAACTGCATTTTAAAACGTGTGTGCGTCGATTCATGTGTGACATTTCATCAAAACACTTCACGTAAGGCTCATGCTACTATATCTGTAAACAGCCGAATACAGCCTGACTTGAATGATTTTGACCGAACATTGTGTAGTTGCCATCGATGCTATTCAGATTGTAGACACTGTCCATCTTCCCGGTGAAGATTTCGGGTTAGAATTGATCCCCAGCAACCTATGCTGGTCATAAGAGGCGACTTAACGGATTGGTTGTTAGGCACGGTGACTTGGTTGATCGTGTCATCGTACCCGTTGGCGTGGTTCGTTGCTCACAATATCAATCACTGGATTGTGTAGTCCGCCGTAATATAGTTGGAATATTTCTGAATGCGGCGTTAAACAACAAACACACACACACACACACACACACACACACACACACACACACACACACACACACACACACACACACACACACTGCCGACGTATGCTTAAGGACGTATCTTATAAGAAATGAACTGCAGTGTGATGAAAAGTCGCCAAATATATAAGCCAAATGAGTAATGTAGGCATGTCTTCACTGTTGAGGATGTCGTGTGTAGGTCTTTTGGCCTGCCGTTTACCCAAGTACACGTTCGTGCGTATGAATAGCACAGTCTGCACAATCAGCTGAAGGATCTTCAACATGTATGAAGCGATGTTTAGTTGTAACCGTAGCTCTGCGCTCCCTCCTTGCAGCAATGTGTCTGTGCGTAGCTGTACGTGATAAAATCACAGCAGAATGAAAAACATTCTTTCACTATGTCATTAGGGTATTCATATAAAATAGGTTTTTCACTTGGCGCTGGTTAGAAGTAACCTCAAAATTATAACTATAAGGACTAAGGATATCTGTGTGCAGATTCAAAGAGAATTTAGAATCACCTCGCCAGGAAATATGTCACAGTTTGATCGTACATTTTGGAACAGTTTGACTTTTACCACTGTAATATGTCAGGATAATGAAGATGCTCTAACGCCTTAAAGAATCAAGATGGATTGTGTGGGATACAATTTGGCGTTGTACGAGGAGACGTCTTGATTTTCTTCTATTCTGCTGACTTCCTATGATCAGATTAATGCATTGCTTCGTTTATTGTGTACATACATACACTATAATTCGTATATGAGATAGATACGTAGAGATAGACCGATAAGTGTATTTTCGTTGTTTATAGCGATTGATTCATGTGATTTCTGTGATTTCAAAAAGCAGCCATGATCGTCGCAGCTATTTAATTAATACAAGCTATAATTGTTCTACCGAGTGAAAAGGTTATAAAGCATTCTTTTTATAACATGTGTTTGTTATGATGCAGTGAAATGTGCTTTTCTTATGACCTTTAATAAAAGTATTCTTTTTTACAGCTTGTATAATGCCTCTATATGTGTCTGTCTGTTCATGTATGTTTGTCATATCAGACCCAATAAGAAGGGATCCACATCAGCGTTCATCTCGAAGCCAGAATGGGATGCAGCGTCTCTGTTGTACCACAGGAGGAGGCAAAGGATCTCGAACCAGAAATTGAGGCAGTCTGTAGATTGTATCTATTAAGAAAATGTGACATCAGATGAAACGCTAAACATGTTGTTGGCCCGATACGTTTTATATTGTGATATTCCCTCTTTAAATGAGTTTTATATGTTAATTATTATCAGATTAGTGACAATTATGAGACAAAACATGTCATTTTCTTACCTATAATATAAACTGACTTATCATGAGTTTCGTAATATCATACTCGAATTTGTCCCCGGTGAGATTCCAAGGGGAGAAAGGGCTCCTATTAAAGAGCATCGGGTTGTCAGATTCGTTAACTTGGCTGGTTGCGTGTCATATGAACCCGATGGCCTCTGTCGCTGTCCATGCTTTTAGTCCCTGGTTTGCCTAGTCCAGACTCGATCACGGACATAAAACGGCGTAAAACGACATTCGCCCTTGTCATTTTGAATCTATACAACTCATGGTGTCGTGTCAGGATAAAAAAAATTATTATAAGTGAATCATTTTTTAATTATTTTAATTCTTTGTATAGCTGGAGGTTCCATGGATTGAGCCAAACTATCCTCCGCCTAACCCACCCAAAACAAGATCATCGGAGGTGTTTGCCATAGAAGACTTCGCTGATATCGATGAACGCGCAACACATGTAAGTATGTCCTTGTCGTTTATAAACATAATGTGTATTTGTAGTAAAAGTATAATACACTTATTTAATACCAACAAGCATTTTGAAAGGGTCAATAGAATACACTTATTTAATACCAACAAGCATTTTGAAAGGGTCAATAGAATACACCTATTTAATACCAACAAGCATTTTGAAAGGGTCAATATAATACACCAATTTTATACCCACAAGCATTTTGAAAGCGTCAATAGAATACACCTGTTTTATACCCACAAGTATTTTGAAAGGGTCAATATAATACAACTGTTTAATACCAACAAGCATTTTGAAAGCGTCAATAGAATACACCTGTTTAATACCAACAAGCATTATGAAAGGGTCAATATAATAATCTGTTTAATACCAACAAGCATTTTGAAAGGGTCAATATAATCAAAATCAGCAAAGTATAAAAGTACTTGTGCTATGTTGACAATCCACTTTGCACCGTTTGGTGTGATAGACAGAGATGACAAGTAACATTAGATGGTTATTATGAGTGAGAGACTGGGTAGGGTTTTACACCGCTTTTAGCAATATTCAGGGGACACCGGGACACTGGAAATGGACTTCACACATTGTACTGATTTTGAGAAGCGAACCCAGGCCTTCGGCGTGACAAGAGAACGCTTTAACCACAAGGCTACCCCACCGCTCTAGCTGGTTGCAATGTATGACTTGAATGATTATATATCAGCATGCCCCGACCGCGTGGCTCTTTGCTACATGATAAAGCTGGGATATTGTTGACACATTTCCCCCTCGCCCCCCCTGATACGACCAAGGATGCCATGGTCTTTTACAGATTACATTTGTGCATATAAACATTGTGTCTATGTTTTCAGTGTCCAGCAGCTAAGACGGAGTCGTATGACGCATTGCTCACCTACCTGACCCGCGGCTTGATAACTGATATGGAGAAAGTACGTTCCATCTTTACATGGCTAGGGTCTCAAAATATAGCAGAAGGGCATTTCAAATCACAAGATGTGAACACCCCAGCTGGCTATATGAAACTGATGAAAGAGAAGAGAGGAAGCTATTCCACCTTCCTAGCTCTCCTGCTCAGGTATGGTATTTTCGGAAAGTTTCATCAAAATGCTTTGGTGCTTTCTCTCAGGGTGAGGTGAAATGGGGTTTAACGTAGCGTTCAAGATTATTGCCCTTATATTGCGACGTGCATGCAGGTGTGTGTTTTTGTGTGTGTGTGTTTTTGTGTGTGTGTGTGTGTGTGTGTGTGTGTGTGTGTGTGTGTGTGTGTGTGTGTGTGTGTGTGTGTGTGTGTGTGTGTGTGTGTGTGTGTGTGTGTGTGTGCCGACTCCGATCCGACCAACCCTTGTTTTAGCCCCTTAATGCCCAGCGCTAGGTAGGGTAACAACAAGTACCATTTTTTAACGTATTTTGGTATGACGCGGCCGGGGATCGAACCTCGGACCTTCCGCACGCCGGGTGGACGCTCTACTACAAGACCACTGAGGCGGTCTGGGCCCACTTGCACAAAGCGATCTTAGCGCTTAGATGATCGTACCTCCCATACTTTAACAAAGTCTTACGATAGTCTTAGCGTTAAGATCGTTTTGTGCAAGTGGGCCCTGGTGCATATAGTCAGAGAGAACTCAGTTACAACTTCTGTTTTCGGCGAAACAGATGATACTATAATTAATCTCCATAAGTTTAGAAATAACCAAGTTCATAAAAATCGTATGTGCGATAGTGCAAATATCACTTCACGCGCACCAGTATATTGTTAACGTCATGTGGACGGCATTGTTGACGTCCTTCAAATCTTATTGTGACGTATGGTCGGAATGATGTCACACTCAAAACTATGGCATAGCTAAAGACTGTTGACGTCATTCGACAATTGTGGTTTTTCCAAGACGGCAGTCGTGATCAGTGCATTTTGCTAAATGGGAGCTCAAAAGAATGAAAAATAATGGGTAATAAAGACATTATTGTACTCGCATGTGTGTTACACTGATTTCTGACTCGTGTAAGAGTTCATGTATCATCCTCGCTCTCGTTCTGGAAATCAGGATGCCACACATGCTCATATAACAATCTCTACTTAGCATCACTGATCGACATCATCTTCAAATGAAACTACATATCAACAGACTTTATATGACTTTACTTGCATGAGAATGTTTGTGACATCAATATTTGTAATCCTCATCCTTCCAGGAAAGTCAACATACCCTGTGTAATTGTGTACGGCATCTCGAAGAGCTTCGACTATGATGTCGGCGACCGTGATATCTATCACTTGAGAAACTGTTGGAACACTGTCTATGTAGACGGGCACTGGCGCCTCATCCACCCTCTGTGGTCCTTCAGAAAAGTGACCGGTTTCAACAAGGGGCGATGGCAAACCATCCGGAAAGATATAGCCAGCAGTAAGAAGAACGACGAAGAGAAAGAGGAAGAAGGAACAAACATCTTTTCCCAGGACGAGTTCTTCTTCCTCGTTGAACCAAGCGTCTTCATACACATGTGTCGACCAGCTGCAGATATGGCTGCATGGCAGTTGTTGAAACAGCCGTGGTCTTTTGAGGAATTTATTCATGCACCTGTGCTCAGACAAAAATTCTTCCAGTACAATTTAGCCTTGACCAGCAAACCCTCGTGCATTCTCCAGGCAGACGAGCATGGAATAGTGCAGATTACTTTCGAAGATTTGGAGGAACCGGAGATGTCGTTCGTTCATCAACTCTACTTCGATGACCGTGCATCATTTAATAAACTGCCTGCAAATGTCAAGCTTGAGCGATATGCTTATGTGAGTAGAAAACAGTCAAAAGTTACCGTCAAAGCTCGACTGCCAGTCGGAGGTATCTACAAACTAAGGATATATGGTGGTGTCGGTGACTTGTATCATCTTTGTGACTTTCGGTTGGAATCTGAAACGCCAAATCAGCCATCAAAACCATTTCCGTTTTCAAAGCGCCTTATGTATGGGTTCACAAAAACATCGCGGGTTCGTGGTTTGGATTATCCATCGGAGTTTGGAGGCGTGATTAGGCTTCAGGCAGGCCAAGGCAAAATCTTTACGTTTGCATACTTGGAAGAGCTGGACATTCAGGCAATATTTGAGCACCACATGCTTACGAGAGATGACCTGAAGAAGTGCATTGCTGTAAAGAGGAAAGAAGGGTACTTCAACATTTACGTAAATGTTCCAGCCAGTGAAGAGATAGAGGAATATTCCCTGCAGATCTACACTAGGCCAAGAGGGTCAAATGGACAGTATGTGAATGCAGTCAACTACCTACTCATCATGGCCAGAAAGCCTGAAGAACCAAAGGTCAACATCAGAAAAGTTGAAGTAAGTAAAAAATTCGCATACCTGATTGATGTCTTGGAATGGTTTTTCAGTACAAGTATTGTTTGGGTTCATATGATTATTTCCCTCATATAACTGTTCTATTACAGAAATATTATGAGATGGAAGCCCGACGGAATCTCAAAACGGCCATCGAGAGGTCCAATATTGGCGAGTTGGACATTGCTATTCAGAGAGTCCAACGCCTGAGGATGGAAAGCGAGGATGATTTGATTGAGGCCAAGCGAAAGCGGGAGCTGCTCATTCTGGAGAGAGGTGCGTATGACACAAAAGAGTTGAATATGAAACAATTTCCGTCAGTCATACCAATTCCGCTATTATCTAATGCCCTACAGTTACCGAACTTCTGCCCCGTGAAGATCCGGGTTCGAATAGGCGTTCAGCAATCCAAGCGTGTTGGCGACTAATGGCAACTGGTGGTCAGACTTGATTTGTGTATGTCATCGTGGTCCAATTGCGAACATTTATGCACATTCATTCACTGGATTGTTAGGTCCAGACTTAATTATTGACAGACCGCCTGTCTGTAAAACTGCTAAGTGCGGCGCTAAGCAACAAACAAACCCAAATTCTGATCATTCAAACATTATATTTCCCTTCAGATCTAAGACTTGCCATTGCCCGTCGACGGCCTGACTTCCTGGACCGTGTGCTTGACCGTGCCGCGCGGTTGACAGAGGACCACCACCTGGACTACCTTGTGAAGGAGGCATGCGACATTAGGGAGCAGCTCCGACGCCTCATCACCTTCCTGCACGACGTGTTGGAGATCCACCAGCCAACCATCTCCGAGATGCACAACTACAAGAGACCCAAGGAGGTGATACACAACATCATGCTGGCCACATATCTCTTGCTCGGGGAAGATGAGGAAGACTTGATGGTAAGGAAGAACCCAGCTTCTAGATGCCGAAATGCCATGCATGCACCCCCTGTTATTTACATAACGGTCATATGAAGAACGAAGCGTGGTTTATTTCACGATAAAACATTGTTCTAACATAATATGACGTCGTTTCTGGTGATTCGAATATGCGCTCGAAATTTGATAACGTTGTAAATTGGTCGACCTTTTTTTTTAGAGGGAAGTGTCGAATTCTTCCCCGTAGATGTAGCTGAGCAACGTAGATTAATGGCCGAGATATGACAATCGGCATTCGGAACAAATGTACAGATAATCGACGTGCAAATTGTGAGCATTTGCGGAAAAGGCCAAAATTTAAATATTTTTTAAAGCTGGAATGTACATTTTATTAACACCCTTAAACTGGCTGCACCTGATTTTGATATCTCATATAAAACGTTCGAGTTATCCGTGGTTCAAGCAGCCAACAAAGTGTTGGTTGGTTGTTGGTTGGTTTGTGGTTTAACGCCGCACTCCAGCTATATGACGGCGGTCTGTAAATAATGGAGTCTGGACCAGACAATCCAGTGATTAATATCATGAGCATCGATCCACACTATTGAGATTGATGACATGCATCAATCAAGTCAGCGAGTCTGACCACCCGATCCCGTTAGTCGCCTAGCCAACAAAGTTAATTTTCGACAACCAAACATCATATCCTCGTATCCCAATTGCACAGATATTTTCTCCTGATGTAAATCACATCATTGTCTGGTCCTGACTCGATTATTTACTGGCCCTCGTCATATAGCTGGAATATTGCTGAGTGCTGCGTAACAAAACAATCAAACATATGTTACAGCATGTACTTACAATATTGGATTTGTTTACACCTGCAGATATCCCACCCCAGCTCTGTTTTCATGTTTTAGAGATGGGACTACATACAACATCTGATGAGGAAGGTTGGACGGAACAGTCTTATCAGTCGTCTCCGTAAGTTTGATGTTGTCAGCGTCCAGCTGGACATTTTGGACAGAGTGCAGTCTATTATAGACATGTATGACGAGGACGCTGTGAGGCAGGCCAGCTCTGGGGCAGGGACCTTCTACGTGTGGGTGAGTGTCTGCTGAGATATAGTCTGGAAGTGAAGTGAAATTGGGTTTAACGTCGCGTCCAAGATTATTGCACTTATATAGCGACGTGCATGCACGTGTGTGTGTGTGTGTGTGTGTGTGTGTACTAGTCCGGACTGATGCCGATTCATAGTGCTAGCTCACTGAGATACCATGCCGCCATATACCATATACCCCACTCAGACACAGTATACTGACTCCGAGCCGACCAGTCCTTGTTTTATCCCCTTAATGCCGAGCGCCAGACAGGATAACAACAAGTACCATCTTTTAACGTCTTTTGGTATGACGCGACCGGGAATCGAACCCTGGACCTTCCGATCACCGGGCGGACGCTCTACCACAAGACCACGGAGGCGGTCTTTAGTCTGGAGCTTTAAGTATATAATATATTTTTATTATATAATTTTAGGAGTGAGGGATCTTCGTATCATTTCATATCGTTTTCTTTGCAGTGAGTGAGTTGGGTTTAACGCCGCTTTTAACAGTATTCCAGTTATATCATGGTGTGTCAGCTTAATGTGGGAGGAAAGCCCGAAGTGATGTAGGTCTCAGACGTTTACCACTTTGGTGAAACCCTCGAGCACGGGTATGGTGCTGACAAACCTAGAAACATAATCGGGGCGAACCGGGATTCGAACCCACAATCATAGGTTTCTGGTGTGCCAAAGGGACGCAACTCTGCACAGCGAATCGCGGCGCCTTAGACGACTGGGCCACCCGTGCCCCCTCATTCATTGTAATGTCAGTGTAGTAGATCTGAGTTCACTTTTTATTTTGTTTGAAGCTTCTTCGGAACTGCTTGAGAGAATGCGGTGTATTGGTGTTTCTGTCTTAATTTATGATTAAAGATAAATATTCGTCTAAAAACTGGAAATGTCATGATTCGATAAATATTCGGGCCTTGTAGACGATGATCCCAAAACTACTATTATCGACTTTTTCTTTGGAACTGATAATAAATTCAACTTTTGAAAAGCATCAATATATTTCATATATTTCGGTAAGAAATAAACACACAAATATTTACATATGCAAATCCAGAAAGATCAGATAATTACAAACGTGATTCCTCTCCCTCATGTCTAATTTCTACATTACACATTCCCTAAAGTCTAATAATGAACTCTTTTTCCTAATTTTTCGTCTTTACATGAGCCATTGTCAATAATGTCTAGTTTCTGCAGGAACCATGTTTCTTATGTCTAGTTTCAACGTGAACCTCTACCATATTGTCTAGTTTCAACGTGAACATCTACCTTATTGTCTAGTTTCAACGTGAACCTCTACCATAGTGTCTAGTTTCAACGTGAACCTTTCCCATTTTGTCTAGTTTCAACGTGAACATCTACCATATTGTCTAGTTTCAACGTGAACATCTACCATAGTGTCTAGTTTCAACGTGAACCTCTACCATCTTTTCTAGTTTCAATGTAAACCTCTACCACAGTGTCTAGTTTCAACGTGAACCTCTACAATATTGTCTAGTTTCAACGTGAACCTCTACCATCATTTCTAGTTTCAATGTAAACCTCTACCATAGTGTCTAGTTTCAACGTGAACCTCTACAATATTGTCTAGTTACAACGTGAACCTCCACCATATTGTCTTCTTTCAAAGGGAACCAATTTTCCAATTTTCCATCTGTTATCTTCACATGAACTGTTTTAATCTAATGTCAAGTTTCTGCATGAACCCTTTTTCCTAACGTCTTGTCGTTACGCGACCCATTTTTCCAAATCCTAAGTTTCTACGTAACCCCTTCCTTCTCATGTTCAGTCTCTCTCTGCTTACGTCACATTTCTACCTCTCATGTGTATCCAGTTGAAATCACGGAACCCCACTTAGTTTCATCATGGCTTGAAGAATGTGCTGTCTTTCTTTCCAGTGCCAAAATATCGTGGTTGAGCTGACTGTATCCATACACAACGAGATACAGAAATACCGAGCAAGACGCGGATGAATTCGCTCCAGGGTGTTTAAGGCTTCAACAGGTGTGATTATTAAATGGACAAAACAGGATCCGAGTCAAGCGTAACCAGTCGTCAAACTACCACTTTGTCTGTGTTTGACGTCGTGATGAAGTCAGTTTTGTGAATTGGTCAATATCTTGGGGAATCCAGATTATTATTTTGTTATGTTCATGTAGTCACATGTTCTTGATCAAAACACATGGCCGAGAAATACTACACAAGAATCTTTGTAAATTAAAACGACAAAACCCTGATTCGATTGTACGATTCCGAGTATATTATGAGCATGTGTATATGAATCATTATCAAATTGTGATGACACCATATGTTCGCGAAACGGTTAGCGTATCCTGCCCCACCGCTGGCATCCGTCACAAATACATGCAAAGGCATGTCAATTGCTCACCTGAAAAATAACTTATGGTACAAATCAAAATAGGGTTATGTATTCCAGTGTATTTACACTATTCGGTCGTATTTCTAAGAATACCTTGACAGTGGTTTCAATACATATACTGTGTGCCTTCATGTTGAGATGGGTGATAATGAAAACTGTGGGATATACCCAGAAAATATTATGTGTGTGCTTGCAAATCTCATACTTAAAAATGTTTACACGTAAAGCAGGAATAGATATAATACGAAATTCCACATTTTATCACTCTATATCCATTGTAGGTGTAATTGAAAGTCCAGTATAATTACTGAAAGCACCAAATACATTTATATAACCTGATCAACTGCCCTACCTTTATGTGGAAATACCTTTGCCAAAATGACACTGTTTGAACCCTGTGTGATATAAGTGTGGATTAATAGACAACAGTAGTATGAGAACGAGACTGGGATGGCCAAATGATAAATGTTCGCCCCGATTATGTTTCTACGTTTGTCAGCTCCATACCCGTGCTCTCGTTAGTTTCACCAAAGTGGTAAATCTCTGGGACATGCATCTCTTTGGGCTTTCCTCCAATATTAAGCTGACACGCCGTGATATAGCTGGAATGCTGTTAAAAGCGACATTATCCCCAGCTCTCTCACTCACGAGAAATTATTTTAAACGTCTTCAAGTATTTATTATGTCCTATCTCCAAATAAAATGTTTGAGAAAGATTCTAATATCAAGACTGTACAAAGTTCATTAAAAGGGATTGGTCGTGTATGTAGACCTTTGATTTTAAAATCGTCTCTTCTGTCTGTGAGACATAGAGCAATATCTTGTTTCGATTGGAATTTCCGTTATTGTCTGCATGTATCTTCATTTAGCGTACATTGTTTTCACGGCTTAAGTTCAAATTCTAAACGTTTCATGTTATGTTAAATTCAGTAACGTTGCTATAAACGGTATATTGAACCCTTCCTGACCTATTGATATCTTAGATTAAGAGCCTCACTTAATCAGTCTACCGGTAAGCATGCCATGAAGGGTAGCCATAGCTAAAGCCAGCTATTATTCTTCATAATTTGACGTTAAGTCTCCTCATACATAATCATTCAGCAGAACAAAATGATACGTTTATACTGGTATGAGTTGATCCAGATTCCTGTGCAAGAATGCCAACTTAATATGGAGAAGTAACTAGCTGACGTTATCTCCACGCATCCTCTGTCTTGATCATATCACATATTTATTGAGTGTTATTTTCAGTTGTATACAAAGACAATGTGACATGTTTCTCAAAATGAGAATTGTTGTGTTTGATTTTTAATAAATGCATCCTAAACATGATACAGTTGCTCGTTTGTTACATGTGACAATGCCCGCGGGGATTCCGGGTGAGCTTTTATCCCCAGAATTTTTTGTTAGTCGCATTTATGGATCAGATGGTCAGGTTCGGTGACTTGGTTCATCGTACCCAGACATTGCTTATAATATCAATCACTGGATTATCTTGTCCAGATTCGATTATGACAGGCCGCCGCTATATAGCTGAAATATTGCTGTATGCGGTCTTAGAGAACATACATCAGAACAGAAGCATGTTAAAAGGGATTAACTTCTATTCACCATGTACCTGAAGCTATGTACCTATCAACATATCGCCGTGGCAGTAACGTCCTAGTCTGCATGTTAGTCAGTTGGCCACCAGCGGAAAAGAGGCTTAGTTTACATTTTCGTTCCCAAATTTTCCTGTATACCTTAAACCTTTTCTATTGCATAAAGGAGGTATCTGTACACAATGTTCATTGGGTAGTAAGCTTGCAAGTGTGTGCAGGAATATTCAGGGGGTCAAAATTGCATAAATTGAAGGAAAAATGCATAATTTGACAAAATTGGCTGTAACATTTTTATTAAGTCATTAAACTATCCCAATTATGTCTTTGATTACAGGTAATATGTTCGGTTATCTGAATTTGGCAAACATTTTGTTTCATTTAGTTGTTATTTTAATTCTCATTGGAAACATTGGTAAAATTCAGGGTTTTTTACTTCATTTTCAAATCTTGTGAGTAGGTAAAACACAAATTCCATTGAATTGTGACAATAAAACCACTGTAACTGGGTATTAAAATCTGCCTTAACCATTGTACTGTCCTATACAAAAAACAAAATGAAAATATATTACATAGGGGTTGAGAAATTGTATACAGTGTTACCCCACCCCCCAAAAACCAATTTTGACGAAAATTGCTTATTGAGATATGGTGGTAAATGATGTTGCTGTAGTGGATGATTAGGATAATTGCAACAATGCTTAAAAACACCGAAATAGTAAACTCATAAAGAAAAATGATGTTTCAAGTTTTTCTGTGAGCATTTTATGGTGGCCATCTTGAATTTCAAGATGGCCACCATTTTGACTTGTTTTCGAAATCAAGATCTTATATAGTTCTTCAACATGGTCATGTAATATATCATATGAAAGCTTATTACATTGTCTTTTCAATGATGTACATAATTCACTGACTCCTGTGGTAAATTGATCCCCAACAATGAAAAAAGGAAATATTGAAATCTAATTTCTCTCGCAACTTCAACCCAAACCCAAGTTTAGATTTAGATTAAAATGGACATATTTTCACTCAAAATTGTAGATATACTGCACTTTTCTTCAACATGGTCATGTAATATATCATATGAAAGCTTTGTTACCTTGTCTTTTCAATGTTGTACCTTATTCAATGACTTCTGTGGTAATCTTATCCCCTAATAATAAAACACATGATATATCGAAATCTAATTTCTCTAGCAACACCAACCAACCTCCAAAGTTGTATTTCAATAAGATGGACATCGTTTCACTCAGAATTGTAGATATACTGCACTTTTGTCTGAGCATTTCACTAGTTTATCGTTTGAGTGAAAAAAACCATGAGAATACTTCTAATATTATGAAGTATTAAAGATTCTATCACAGAGTCATGGGCTGTGAAATAATGCCACCTCTAGTCACCGTCAGAGTCCATCTCTTCTGGAAAGGTAGGTAAATTGTTTCTGTTTAGGCATGACATAGCACAACTGCATCCAAGGGAACATCCCATGATGTTCTTGGCGCAGCTACACCTGGGTGAGGAGCATCTGCCTGTTGTGCATTTACAGGTGAGCAATTCTAGACACAGTGCTGGCATTCGTTTCTGGGTCATTGGGGTGGGTTCTCAGTGGACGACCATCTATACCCTTCTGGTGGTGAATGTCAGCCTTTCCTTTGTGTGCAGAACACCATGTAATGCACTGGTGCTGACATCTGAGTAGAGGTTGTGTGGTGGGAGTTCCTCTAGGTCTCCAACTCTGGGGAACATGTCAGCTTTAAGTGTATTAATGCTAGTTGCAGTTGATGCTGGATTGTACACTTTGACAACAACTGTTTCTGTCTTTTTCATGTTGAAGGCACCAGTTTCTTCTGTTGGTTGCAACAAATCTGGTTGTGCGATAAATATGTTCCAGGTCGACGTCTTGCCATAACCACTGAACTGGCTTGTTGTGTCACAACCATGACCGCATGGAATGCTGGTAGAGCTGCTACAACATCTGGAGTGAGAGATTGATTTACATCATCAACTTGTATGAATAGAGGGTCCTTTGCAGTACCTGCACCCATCAATATCTGAGCAGAAAACCGATGTTTATGATGTATCAACGGTATCTAACACATCAGTGTCTCGGTTGTGAACGACAATTTGGTCGTATGAATTGCAGGAGGCATCCATGACATGCATCATCATTCGTGTATCTGCCTCTTCGTGTGTTTTATAGTAGATTTGATATTGCTGCAGATTGATCTAAGGAAGATATTACATCATCATGGTATGATTCGAGGTGACAAGCTTTTGTAAGAGTTCATTGAAAATCGATTGGCGGATAATGCTGAGAGTATTCATGACAAAATATAAGAAAATATGTCCAACAGTACATACACTGTACACCATGCAGGTATCAAAGAAGTCAACTCAAACCAATACCTTTAAGCAAGGAAGAAAACTTTTCAGAAGGTTGCTGAGTTCCACCCACAGTGGAAGAGACGTAAACGTACCCTATCTTCTAACACATGAGCTGTCCCATACCCCACCTTCCCTGGGAACAGCAGATGGTCTACTTTGTACAACAAAGCTGCATTATCACATTTGCTTGCAGATTCTCATGCTACCACCAACTGATGACACAACATGCATTGTTATTTCGGACATGGCTCTTGTACAGGCTTTAGGCAAACCAAGATTTGGCTGATGTTTTCAAGTGGAATGTGCTGAAGAACTTCAGTGAAACTTATACTTAAGTCGATGATGTCTTTGACCAATATGTTGCAAAGTCAGTAAAATCTATACAAAAAGAGGTGATCGATCAAAGAAAATTCGAAGAATAATAGATAAATGAGACATCCTTCTGCTGACTTCATCGTCCAATTTTATTGAAACAACAACAGGCACAACATCTCCATCATAATCATCAAATCATCATCATTGCAGGTGGATTAAGCGGCCCAGATACAGCAGTATCTTCCATAGATCAATCTGAAGCAATGCCAAATCTGCTGTCAACACATAAAGAGGCAGATACACGAATGGTGATCAATGTCATGGATGCCTCCTGCAATGGATACGACCACAGTGTCATTCACAGCCGATACACTGATGTGTTAGTACAGTTGAAACATCATAAACATCGGTTTTCTGCTCAGATATGAATGGGTGCATATCAGTTGATGATGTACATCAATCTCTCATTCTCTCAGATGTTGTATTAGCTCTACCAGCATTCCATGCGGTCACAGGTTGTGGACCTGGAACATATTCATATTTATCGCACAACCATATTTGTTGCAACCAACAGAAGAAACTGTTGCCTTCACTCACTTGTCATCAAAGTGTACAATCCAGCATCGACTGCAACTAGCATTAATACGCTTACAGCTGACATGTTCCACGGAGTTGGAGACCTAGAGGAACTCCCACCACACAACCACAAAACCTCTACTCAGATGTCAGTACCAGTGCATCACATGGTGTTCTGCACATAAAGGAAAGGCTGACATTCCACCACCAGAAGGGTATAGGTAGACGTCTACAGACGATGTCATAGAACCCATCCCAATGACCCAGGAATAAATGCCAGCAGTGTATCTAGAATTACTTACCTGTAAATGCACAACAGGTAGATGCTCCTCATTCAGGTGTAGCTGCACCAAGAACATCATGGGATGTTCCCTTGGATGCAGTTGTGCTATGTCATGCCTAAACAGAAACAATTTACCTACCTTTCAAGATGAAACGGACTCTGACGGTGACTAGAGATGACATTATTTCACATTTTATTTTTAATACTTCATAATACTAGAAGTATTCTCATGTTTGTTTCTTCACTAAAATTATAAACTAGTGAAATGCTCAGACAAAAGTGCAGTATATCTACAATTTTGAGTGAAACGATGTCCATTTTAATTTAAATCTAAATTTGGGTAAAGTCGCGAGAAATTAGCTTTCAATATTTCCTTTTTTTCATTGTTGGGGATCAATTTACCACAGGAGTCAGTGAATAATGTACATCATTGAAAAGACAACGTAAAAAGCTTTCATATGATATATTACATGACCATGTTGAAGAACTATATAAGATCTTGATTTCGAAAACAAGTCAAAATGGCGGCCATCTTGAAATTCAAGATGGCCACCATAAATGTTCACAGAAAAACTTGAAACATCATTTTTCTTTATGAGTTTACTATTTCGGTGTTTTTAAGCATTGTTGCAATTATCCCACTCATCCACTACAGCAGCATCATCTACCACCATATCTCAATAAGCAATTTTCGTCTAAATTGGTTTTTGGGGGGTGGGGTAACACTGTATACAATATCTCAACCCCTATGTAATATAGTTTCATTTTGTTTTTTGTATAGGACAGTACAATGGTTAAGGCAGATTTTAATACCCAGTTATAGTGGTTTTATTATCACAATTCAATGGAATTAGTGTTTTACCTACTCACAAGATTTGAAAATGAAGTAAAAAACCCTGAATTTTACCAATGTTTCCAATGAGAATTAAAATAACAATTAAATGAAACAAAATGTTTGCCAAATTCAGATAACCGAACATATTACCTGTAATCAAAGACATAATTGGGATAGTTCAATGACTTAATAAAAATGTTACAGCCAATTTTGTCAAATTATGCATTTTTCCTTCAATTTATGCAATTTTGACCCCCTGAATATTCCTGCACACACTTGCAAGCTTACTACCCAATGAAAACTGTGTACAGATACCTCCTTTATGCAATAGAAAAGGTTTAAGGTATACAGGAAAATGTGGGAACGAAAACCTTGTTTTTCACCCCTAGCCAACTGACTATGTACACGGAGCTCCATATATATATATGTTCATGACAAAAACGCTTGTACCTGAACTTCATTATTCCAATGATCCAGGTAGTTGTACATAGAGTAATGAAGCTTCATCCTTCCGGAAACCAC